AAGACCCTCGCTTAGAACCCTGCCATCGAGGAGAAGGGCTTAAAGAGTCAAGAGATGACATGAGAAATCCGGAGTGCTAGAGCCCTGAGATGTCCCTGGACCAGAGAAATGCCAGTACACCTCACTACAGGAGAAGAGGACTCGGTATTGTGCCCGAAGCCCCTGAGCTGAAGCATGGGGCTTAGTGAGAAAATCATATGGATGCCGTCTCAAGTCATCCACAGAGGAGGAAACAGAACTGCTCTTCCTTCCATGTGAGCAACCACAGTTTTTTCCAGAAAGAATCACTGGTCTGGAAAGCTCTGGTAACACGTATGACCGAATACCCAGCAGGTGTTCACAGGTCCAGCTAAGTCTGCAGCTGGCAAGTCCACCAACCCCACAGACTGGGCACAGCTTTGCTTATTACTGACACCATGCATCCTGCATGAACAGCTAAGAATGGGCAGACAAGGAGAGGATTGCCATTGCCACAGAAAATACGACACCATAAAAAGAATATGAGAAAACAATGAGAAACAGATTATTAAATTCTCAGGGACTGAGCAAAAAGAACTAGGGAGGAGAAACAAAGTCACTGCAGATTAAATATGGCAAGCTTTAAGCCAATTATAAAAGATCAAAGACAACAAGAAAGGGGAGGAGTAGCCTTACAAGTGACTGAGATAGGAGGCCTTGGGAGAAATATGGCCATGGGAGAATCATTACGGTTTACAGCTAAAGTAATCTAGGGGTGACTTTAGCATGAAATTCACTAGGAACCGCCACCCCAGGCAACTCACAGGGACAGAAAACAAAAGTCTCTTTTATTTTTTAAAAGGCATACAATCCCAGAGGGAGGAAACTACCAGGCTGGCACAGAGGAAACTGACAAAGAAAGATGCCAGCATCTCCAGCTGTATCTTAGATTTCCATGTCACCATGGCAGGAGCCCTCACCGAATGCCACCAGAGTTAAAGGTAAGGAAAAGGGTCTTGTGGCATTGGTACAGCACCAGCCTTGAAACATAATGATACTATGTCCCTAGTAGCCATCCGATGTTTGAGCCGGGTATGACAGCACATGCCTGTGGTCGCAGTTACCTGGGAAGCTTGAGCCCCTAAACCTGAGGCCAGACGGGGCAACACCGTGAGGCTCCATCTCTTCAAAGCAAAACCAATGATCAGACACTGCCTTCCATCTTTCAAACATGTACATAATATATTTCAGTCATAGTTGCCTCTCATTACCCTGTCCCCCTCCCACTCCCGATAATCCACTTCCTCTCTCCCAGGTAGCCGCCCCCCGCCCCCCCCCTACATTTAATGCCTTCTTTGTTTTAGATGAGCCAGTGAGTTTCACTCACGAAGAGCCCTTCCTCCATAGTGCCAATCAGGACCCCAAGGTTTACCAAGAGAACCCATGTCTAAAGCTGCTGGCGGAAGTGGGGTTAATTTTGAGTCTCTCCTCTTTAACATTCTCTGAAATTTAAAAATCTAAGTTCCAAGTGTTCTGTCCCTAACCCCCTCCCCGCCAGTATCTGAGAGGGTGGGGAGCCAGTCGGAATCCAGAAAGGTGCCCAGCACAGGAGGGATGCGGCATTAACAGGAATGTACTTTAAAGCCCAGGGCACTGGACTCCACCCAAGTCCTTGCAGTGGTGATGGAGAGCCCAGACACCCAGCTCTTTCCTTTAGCTGGAGACTGAGCTTGTGTTAAGTAGGCACCCCACTATTGAATTATAGTCCCTGCTCCCCAGATTCCACTTTTACTGTGACTACCTTATTCAGCCTACTGTGTTTTGGTATGGGGACACCCTAACTGAAGGCAGCAGAACTAGAAAAGCAGGACCAAAAAGGTACCCATCCCACTGGCACATGAGGTTCAGGGTAAGGCCTGATGTGGAACACGCTCTTTCCTTAACAAGACTGTACAGAACGCTGATAGGGATGGCAAAATGCCTATGGGATTCCTGAATTTACAGAAAAAGAAAACTAAGGTATTCGTAACATACCACTCACTAAAAAGATATCTCTCAGGAATGAAAGGAGAGGGCTGGGGGGATGATTCAGTGGTTAAGAGCACTGGCTGCTCTTTCAGAGGACCTGGGTTTGATTCCCAGCACCCACACAGCTGCTCATAACTACTGTGACTCCTGCTCTGGGGATTCAATGTTTTCTTCTGGTCGTGGCAGGCATCTGGCACATATGTGATACACACACACACATACATGCAGACAAACGTTCAAACACATAAGATAAAATAATAATAAAATCAGCAATAAAACCAAAATTAGTAATAAAAAGGGGTTAAAGAGACTAGAAAAACAGAGTTTTGAACACCAATCATTTTTCTTATCCCTGCCCTTGGATACAAACCGTTACCTGGTGAATCCCAACTACTACTGTAGACACAAAGACCGGAGTCATGGAGTCTAGCATGGCTGCATTCCGTCTGTGCTGTGACACCCACCCCAACGCTGCCACTCAATACACATGTGACCTCCAGCAAGTTATAGAATCTCTATTTCCTCCTAAGTGGAAAGAGTAGTTCCTATTTTACAGAGTTGTTGTAACGGTTAAATGAAAATAATAAATACCAAAGCAGCCCAGACAACCCCTGCCACAAGGCAGACACTCAGTGAAAAAGCAAGCTGGTCGTGTTAAAATTATTAACACCTCCGGAAACCGAACACCAGAGTTGGAAATTAAACCAAGGACACATCTGAGAAGGAAAGAATGAAGCCAACAGGATGAGGAAAATGTGATTCACACCGCGCGGGTCCTCGGTTCGAGCACATCACTTCTTCCTGCCACCATGACTCCTGGCGACGAACACTAGTCTGAGAATGACATTTCTCGGCTTAATCACACTCCTTAAGCTTTGTTCTGTTTTTCCTCCCAGCCCTATTCAATTTCCCACCGCTTCTCGATGCAAGCCTTTGTTCCCTGTCAAAATCCCCTCCACTGCTGTAAATAATCTCTCTCCCTCTTTTATATTACCTTTCAAATATTTATAGACTGTTATTCTCCTTCCCTCTGAGTCGTACATCATTTTTGTTGCCCTTCTCCTGGATTCGCCCTAGTTTATCTACATCTTTTAGAGAAAAACAAACCCAGGTGCTTCATGATGAAAAGAGCACACCCAAAACTAACAGCTAATAGCCCCAACCAACACGGCCTCTTATCCAATGACACACACACACACACACACACACACACACACACACAAATTCTTTGATGTGCCACTGACTCCTTTTCTCCAATAACTCATAATTTCATCTCTGAGATAACTCAGGAGAGAGTGATAAGGGAGCTGGAATGATGGGGCACCACAAGCCAGCAGCCCCTGGAGTGGGATGCTGGGGGAAGGTCCCCTCCTGCTAATGAGAAATTATGTGTGCTGTCCGCTACTTCTGCTTGTTAACTCCGGGCCACCTCCTGCATTTGCCGCTGCATGCGCTGAGCAGCACCCATGAGACCACCTTTTGCTTGGCTTGGCCTTAAAGGAAAGGAAACCGAACAACGTTTTATTTGCAAATAAGCCCAGGTTTTGTTAAGTGATAAAAAGAAAACTATAACTAAACAAAATTTGCTCACAACAGGCTGCCAAGTCAACAGCCCCTTTCTCAGTGGAAGACTCTGCAACACATCCAGTTCAGTTTCTCCGCATTTCTTCTGGACAGTGACTGTGCCACATGCCTGTAGCACGTCTGTGTGGAGGCCCTGCTTCTTACTCTCGAGGGTGTGGTCTTATGTGTGCCTTCCATCTCAGCCGTGAGGCCAGCAAGGTCGTAGGGTGCTCCCCTGATAAACTGAAGCTAACCCCAAACCTCAGAATACTGAGCTGTGTGGCTGGACAACACCCCTTGAGCCCTTTAGAAACATAAAAAATATGGCTAACACCACACACATATCAGTGGAGTTGCAAAAAAAATAAATAAATAAAAAAGCATAGCCACAAGAAGGGAGAAGCTGACTTACATTTTAATGTGAGAACTTAATATGTTTAGTACAGTTGAATGTGATGGAGTGTAGAGACTTGGTCTGTTTATAGTCCTTATCTAGGAATATAACAATTACTGCTCACATAACTTAATGTCTTAAATTTTGGTTTTGATTTACTTACTTTTATTTTCTGTGTACAGATATTTTGCCTGCACTGCCTGTGGATGCCAGAGGAGGGCATTGGATTCCTTGGAACGGGAGTTACAGATGGTTGTGAGCCATCATGTAGGTGCTGGGGGTTATACCTGGGTCCTTGGGAAGAGCAGCCAATGCCCTTAACCACTAAGCCATTTCTCCAGTGCTCTCAGGCAGCTTAATTTTCACAAAAACCGGCTGACACATCACAATCACGCTCCTTCAGCTGCCTGTAGCAAGAACTCATCTGAAGTGCATGTGTTCTAGGTCTTGTTTTTATAGTTCATCATATTCTGCAAACTCATTTTTTCACAGCTATATTATATTTGATGAAAACTGCATATTCTAAGTATCGTGTGAAAACTATAGGTAGGCTAACAAATTCAGGAAACAGTTACTGTATTCACTTGCACAAACCAATGAAGTAGCCTTTCTCAATCAGAGAGGTAAGAAGGCCTTTAGAAATCATATCTTAGATTCTTCCAATGATAGATCTTCCTCTCCAGACAAAAACTTATCAAAATAACAGCAAAATTATTTTCCTGAGTGTCTGCCCTCTTCAAGACCTGCGGTCATGCATTTATGACCATGGTGTTCTCAGAGAGGACCCCGGCATTGTATCTGCCATGGTGACAACACTCCTTCCACATTAATGAAAAATTAACTTTAGGTCAGGCGGTGGTGGCGCACACCTTTAATCTCAGCACTCGGGAGGCAGAGGCAAGCGAATCTTTGTAAGTTTGAGACCAGTCTTGTCTACAAGAGCTAGTTCCAGGACAGGCTCCAAAGCTACAGAGAAACCCTGTCTAGAAAAACCAAAAAGAAAAAAAAGAAAAAAAAGAAAAGAAAAAAGAGAAATCAACTTTAAAATAGCTGAATACAGCATGTTTCCAAGGGCTGTGGCTTGTGGTAGCCATGGGGTCTCCAACTGCATGCCAGAGTTGCATGGAGAGACTTTGACAGCCCTGGCCAGCACAGTGCCTGCAGCTGCCACTCGACTTTCCTATATATGTAAAAATAAATAAATAAATAAAATAGCTGAATAACTTGAATAACTGCATGGCCAGAATAAGGTTAGTCTCTATTAAGCAGAATATCTGACTAAGCAGACCCTTTTTATGATCTACAGTTGAGGAGCTAACCAACTTCAACTGAAATAGACTTTTTAAAAAATTACTCAAATCTCTAAAATGTCTAACTTGAATTATGCTGACTCCACATGAAGTTAATGTTCTGGGCTTCCTCCACTTTGCAGACATTAGCTCTCTCCTATGATCAGCTACTTGCTTCATGTCTCCGTCACTGGCCATATGGTGCGGCCTGAGCATTATCTCTAGACCACACATACACAGGGCTACCTCCTTGTCATTATTCCCTAAATAATACTGAAAAATAACCCTTCTCGCAGTACTTGGAGTTGAACCCAGACCTTGTAGACAACAGGCAAACACATAAGCTACACCCAGGCCATTGTTACCACTATTTATACAGCATTTACACAGTGTCAGTTACTGTGAGCCCCCTAGAGAAGACTCAAAGGACTTGAGAGTCCAGTGGTTAATCTCACCAAGGAGCTTTAGAACCGCCTGGGAGATGATGGGCCTCTGGGCATACTTAGGAAGGGTTACACTGATTAGGTTACCGGAAATGGGAAGACATGCCCACTGGGGGTAGCGCTATTCCTTACTCAGGGATCCTGGGTTGTATAAAAAGGAGCAAGCGAGTTGAGCAAGACAGTCACAGAAGTCTAGAAGTCTGCTTCTTGACCCTGGATGCAATGTGAACAGCTAACTGAAGCTCCTGCCATCGTGAAGTCCCTGCCACCACTCACATCCTGAGCCAAAATGAGCCCCTCCTTCCTTAAATTGTTTTTGTAGGTATATTTTATCACAACAAAAGAAAGGTGACCAATGCATTTAAGGTGACTTGACCCTCCTCGAATTTAAAATGGGTTGGGGGATGTGAACCCAATCCCCTAGGCTAGCAGGACATAGCTATGCATCTACTCACTCCTCAGTGTAGCTCCACCACAGCTACACACCAAACAGAAGCACTGGAACTGTGAATAGCAGATAGTTATATTATGATTCATAACAGTAGCAAAATTACAATTCTGAAGTAGCAATGAAGTAATTTTATGGTCAGGGGGTCACCAGAATATGAGGAACCGTATTCAAGGGCTGCAGCATTAGGAAGGTTGAGAACCACTGTTCTAGACTGTGAAATGATTCAGTCATTGATTGATATCTTTAACTTAACTTTAAATCTGCTGCAGTTAAAACTGAACTAGGAGTTGAAGTTGAATAAAAAACAAAGAGCACATTGCTGTAGCCTGTCTTGGACCATTTTCACTGGCCTGGCTAAAATGGTCTAATGAGAACTGGAAGTGGTGGTCTGGAGAGACGGCTCAGTGATTAGCAACACAACACTGGCTGTTGTTGCAGAGGGCAAGTTCAATTCCCTGCATCCAATGGTGGCTCACAACCATCCGTAACTCCAGCTCCAGTGAATGCAACACTCTCTTCTGGCATCAGCAGGTTCTACATGCACATGGTACACATACATACAATGCAGGCAAGCAGGCAGGAAGGCATGCATGCACACACACTCACATACAAATTAGAAATAAATCTTGAAAACGATTTAAAAAAAGCTGCATCTTTTGGTCCTTTGATTGCCTTTCAGAACACTCAGTCCTAGAAAGTTTTCATGTAGGGAATATTGCAACTCTTATTACATAGGGTCAATTTTTATGACCAGTAGGAAACTCCACTATGCTAAGAGGAGGGATACAAGTTGGGCAGTGGTGGCTCATGCCTTTAATTTCAGCACTTGGGAGGCAGAGACAGGCAGATCTCTGTGAGTTTGAGGCCAGTCCGGTTTACAGAGAGAGTTCCAGGACAGGTTCCAAAGCTACAGAAAAAGCCTGTCTTGGGAGGAAAATAAGGAGAGAACAAATGAGAAATGGGCAAAGGACACAAAGCACAGGCATGGATGGTTCACTGAAAAAAAAATTCACATGATGCTTAAAATATAGTGTCAGCTGAGAGGGCACTTCAAGCCTCTGCTGCCTCCCACCTCCCCTGTAAGTGGACGGAGCTGCTTCTATCTTGAAAGTCATCACCTTCAGGCCACACATATCAAGCGTGCCATCTTCAGTATGACATACTTGGGGTAGCCAGGAAACCACTCTGCTCTAAAGGGTTCACATAATCAGATCCCAGAAAATCCAGGGTCATCCCTCCTTCCAAAAATCTTTGCTTAATGTTGTCTACCAAGTCTCGCTTGACATTCAAAGTTAACATCTTCCCTAGATTGAGATTGGGAAGAGCTCATTTTCCTTTAAAAAAAATGTGTATGTGGGGGTATATATATGTGATGGGACACCTGACACACATGCTAGGAACTGAACCCCGATCCTCTACAAGAACAGCGCACGCTCCTCATCACTGGCCCATCTCTCTAGGACACACTTCTTCCTGATTTTTTTTTTTTTTTAGGAATGAGAGTGTCTCCCTATTTAACTCAGACTGGTCTCCAGTTTGTGATCTTCCTGCCTCAGCCAATGCCAGGATCAGGGCAAAGTTCGGCTACACCAAGCCTTTAAGCACCCTTCATTCCTCTGACTAAACTGAAATATAACTGTTCACCGTTCAGTCAGGCAGAGCCCAGAGAAAAGTTTAATTCTGGAGCTGCCGAGGCAGCCACTGTCTGGAGGGAGTGCCACACATCACAGCTACCCAAATGACAGGTAACCTCATCTCCAAAACAACCTCCTACCCCATGCTTCCTGCCTCTACTGCCATGCCACCACCTGTCCACGCAGCTCCCCAATGAGCCTTCCCATAAACCTCTGCTCCCACCTGGCTCCTAACAGCCACACTCAGCGGCAGAGATCTTAGATATGAGTAAATCACCCACGTGCTCACTGCTTCAACACTCCAGCGACTTTCCATGGCAACCTAATAAAATCCCCAGCCTCCCCTCAGTGGCCTACACAGTCCAGGGTGATGCAGGCCCACGAATGTCACCCTGTTCAAGCCACTGCAGACACTGGCCACCTGCCTGCTGTAAGCAGTTTTGCCTTGCTTTCCTCTCCATCGTAAATGCTTTCCCAAAGACCCTGACTAGAACAACTCATCATCCCTGAGAACTAGCCCCAGCTCATTCTTCTCAGAGAGGCTTTTCTCTGTCTGAGCCACACTATTTGAACAGCTAGGGTGCCATCCATCCCACCCACTCCCTTCTCTTCATAACACCCCTTCATTAAAATATCTCGATTATTACTTACCAAATCTTTCCACCCCTGGAAAAACATAAGCTCAATGAGAGAGAAGTGTTTCATGCAAAGCTATGTACCACACACTTGAGACAGCCTGCTCAGTGAATATTCCTTTAATAAATAAAGTGGAGAAACCTAGCAAAGGTAAAGGAGGGGAAATCTGTGCAGATGGCAGACTCAGCAGGTGCAGATTTACTTTAGCAAATACTTACTGGTGCTTCGTGAACACAGGCCACTCCACTGACTTAACGCATGGCCTGTGGATTCTGGACACTCCAACCCTCCACATACACACACACACACACACACACACACACACACACACACACACACACAC